TGCACACTAAGGACACTCTTTGTGCACCTCACGAGGCTTATAATGCACGTCAAAATTCCCGCTAGAATCCACATGTCTACAAATGGCCGCATCGGCAACCAACTGATAACGACCGGACCAACTGTTTAGTACACTTTCCAATGCTCGAATTCGTTTTTCACTACCTTATAATTCCTCCTAAACAGATAGAATCATATTGATGAAGAAAATGCCATTTTTGGGCATGCAACAGAACTGTGCACAAAACATCACCCTTTTTGACGTTGTGGACTGCCTTTACTAATTTTTTGATTGTGTTTCATTTGAGTCTCGCAAACTTTGACCCTTTTTCATAATAATGTCACCAGTGTGTCTCTGTTTTTGTTAAGGACACCATCAGATGTTGTCTTAAAGGAACGGTCCGCGATGACCTATGAAAATGCAAGAGGTTATGTGGGAAGGTAGTGCGGTCCGGAGTGGACAACCCTGTGCCAGTTTCGCGGCGGAAAGTTGTACGGTAAAGGAATTAAGGCGCAAAGTTGCTTCAGTGGTACATCCCTTTTTCCAGTGACTCCGCCTCCAAAGTCGGCCTTCCAGCCAAAAGTAATGCTCCGGGCAAGTATCATGGAGTGGATGCATTCAATGTCTCTTGTAGAGTCATAGGGTTCATTACTGGGAATCAGCCGACGGGAATCGTCCCAGCGCGCGGTCTTTTCGGTCTTTTACCTCTACAGTTGTTTGAGGCTAGAGGAGGCCTGACGAATGCGTTTCCAACGTTCCCTTTGGCATTTTCTCTTCATAGACGGTTCACTTGGCGAATTTTCTTCCACATTTCTGCAACATCACCTACGCTTTTTATCGCGGACCATGCCTTTAAGGTGAACTGCTGCTTGAAAAAATGAATTTTACGCTCACATTGCAGTCGCCGTGACGATAACAGATGGTGGACGCTGGTGGACGCTTGTGGGCAGCGGAAGTCATGATAGTATTTAATATGCTCTTTAATATGGTGGTGAAAATGTCCGATCAGAATTCAATAAAGTGTAACTTATAGCGCCTCGAAAGTCAATGAAGAAAAGTGACTTTTTTGCCCCCCCCGGCCTGTATGTTTTATTGCTGGGGAAGTATAACAAGTACTTTTTTATAGCACAGCTGCCATTACCGTCGACAGGTGCAGAAAATGAAAGCGGAGAAGCCTTCGAAGACAAGCCTGCAGAGCGCGCCTGTAAATCCTGTCAGCTATACCACATGTGTGAACGAAAACTAGCGAAACTGGCTCAGATTTACTCAGAATCAGATTTTGTGAACACTGTTGTGCATGGACTTAAAGACACATAGTACGCTCATACACATTGAGGGTGTATGAGACTATCAGCCCCCAGATGTCGATGTGTCGTGGTCCCCCGCCCAAACATGCCCGGGAATGGAGATATAGCGTGACACGCTTAATTCCTCATCGCTCCGCCCACTGCCTTTTTATCGGCGCAGATTCGCCGGTTCTAATCCGTTGCAGCGCGCGTGTCGCGTGCGGCTCCTTGGCACTTTGCCAAGTCCTTTAATTGCGCTCTCAAATACAAGGAAAACGCAATTTCCTGATGCGGATAACATTGGAGGTGCTACAAAATAAGAGCAGAAGATGATGACGAGGGTCAGTAAAAGCGACTGTGCCACTTCTGCAACATCCCTCGGAGGCCACGTATTTCCACGAAACATGAAAATAAACTAAAAACGGCATACTCGTTAGTTTAATACAAGCAAGACGCAATTTCCTGATGCGAATAAAATTTAAGGTGTTGCTCATGCTTCAAAATCCATGTACAAGGAGATGAAGATGACACAGGCTAGAAATGAAGCACCACGATGTAAATGTAAACAAAACAAAAATGAAAAAATCAAGGAAAGGCAAATTAGATAAGACTGGCCTCAATTTTTACGTCCGGCGGCGCAACCCAGCCATAGAAATATTAGAACAAACGAGTGGGACGCTTGGGCTGTTTTTATTCTCATGTTTTGTGGGAATGCGCGGCCTGATGGATACTGCAGATGCAGCCGAGTTGCTCTTGAGCTCCTTGTCATCATTTTCTGCCTCTACTATTTGTAGTCACTTCATTCGAATGTTATCCCGCCATGCATGGCAATTGCGTTTTCGCTTTCGTATTTGAGAACGCAATTAAAGGACTTGCAAGTGCCAAGGAGCCGCACGCGACAGGCGCGCTTGCAACGGATGTTATGAACGGCGGGAATCTGCGCCGTAAAAAGGCAGTGGGCGGAGCATGGAAGAATTAGCGTGTTTCACGGCCCTGTATCTCCATTCCCGGGCATGTTTGGGCGGGGGGACCACGACACATCGACATCTGGGGGGCTGATAGTCTCATACACCCTCAATGTGTATGAGCGTACTATGTGTCTTTAACGGCTGCAGAGCGACCTTCTATCGATGGGAAAGTAGTGGGCGTCGTACGTTCCCAATTGCGGAATGAAGTCGCATTTGCTCGTGGTATGGGCGGAGGGAGAGTCGTCCGGAAGAATAGGAAATGGAGGGATAAGGGGGAAGCCGCGAAAAATTTCCTCTCGCGCCCGATGCTGCCAAGAAGTGCACGCTCCAGAATGGGTGGAGTCTAGTTTTCGGGTTGAATATCAGTAATACACAACTGAGGTGACAGTCGTAGGTCAACTTTTTCGCATTTACTGCTAAGTTCCATAAAAAGCCAGGGTTAGGCATAATCGCTTAAAACCTCCCGGTCTGCCCGACCCTCTTCCGGGAAGCTTGTTGATGCAACTGCCCCCCCCCCCCTCGTATGAGTGTCGTCTCTGCCGATTTTCCCCGCGTGCTGTAGAAATGGCAGCGCTGCACGCACCCGCCTGAACGTCGATCTTTTTTTGCACCAACCCTTTTCAAACTGCATAACATCATCCGAATGATAACTTGTCAGACGAGTGAGTACATTTCACAACCTCGGATCCTGGTCCTTGCCGGGTGGGGGAAAACTGGTCTGCAGCTGCAATAGCGTGCCATTAATCAGGTGCATAGCAACAGGGCTAAGGATAGTGTTATCCATCTGCCGTTCGCATACTCCACCCGCGGTGCCGCACGGCCAGCCACAAGCCTAACCATAAACGAATACACTACTTGTCTGATCCCTCTCACGTCTAGATGTGTTCTGCCTATCACCTTATTTTCGATTCAGAACTTTGATATCGACGCAGGGCAACACCTCGAGGATAGAGCAGTCCGGGAGAAGGTGCCCAGGCATCACTCCCCTCCAGCCTCGCTCCCGTGCATTTTCGAGCTGAGAAAGTGGCACTCTACTGCAGCTGTGGACCCATTCGCCTCGCACATGTCAAGATTTGTGAACAGTTCATCTCCAGGACCGTTAGGGAAAACGTCCTAGTTTTCTGATAATTTCATTTCCCGTTGCAGGCGCTCATCACCGCAAGAACGCAAATAGGGGGTCGTACTTTTGGTCGTGACGGGTGTCGTGGAGATGTTTCCGCCCCCCCCCCTTGCTCGGATCGACGCTAAACCTCTCGTAAAATACGTTGTGAGCAGGTCGTATAGAAAGCGACTACGCACCTTATCTCTGAGGAGTAGGTGTGGCATTTGAAGATAGCATGGAAAGGGTTACTCGTGGGGTAATTCGGTTTGAGATAACTGTAACCTTGTTCTATGTTCACAGAGACACGACCACAACTGTGTCGAAATGAAAATATCTCTCCAAAAGCACAGCCACCGCCACGTTCAGTTGAAGTACGCAGCCACGCCTACCCCATCTCAGGGATTTTGAGTGCATATGAGTTCTTGTTATTCAAAATTTCACCCAACGTGATGCTATGCCCTGCCAGCCTTCCTGGCACGGTAAGGAAAAAGGTCTCCTCCTAGAAGCAAGGAAACATTAAACAGCCCATTATTTTTCAGAAAGACAGCCGATATTATGGGCGTGGATTACACATACCGTTTCCCCTTCTTTTTGTGCGCCTCTCACTACGATGCGATGAAGTCGACAGCTGCACACGAGTGAAGCACACCGGTGGGCCCGACCCCACCCATATGACCACCATGGAATGTGTCTTTAAGTCCGTTATTAGAATTTCGCTCTTTTCCAACAACAATTTGCAGGTTTTGAAAATACACAAGACTACGTGCCAATACTTTATCCACCTATAAATTTCGGTTGATTTTTTTGCATAAGAATACATAAATACATTCGATACCTATACGAGTATGTATAAGTCGCCCGGATTGTCTCACATAATGATGTTATCATCAGTTTTTACACAGACACACACATAGACATGCAATAGAAAGGATGAACAGACTTTGACAAATGCAACAACCGAAAGCTTGCACAATGAATTTTTCATAAGTGGTATGGGTATGCTTTGTTTACTTGTTGTTGTTGTTTTGTTTTGTTTTGTTTTGAAAAGATGATGACCCGATTCAATTCTCTAACGAACGTAGTACGTGCGACGTAGGAAAGACACAACTGGCTAACACAGCAATAGAACGCAGAAAACCTCTTTGTGTGGATTTCACTAGGAATATCGATCGAATGGATTACCGAAAATATGGATGAGAAGGGGGGGGGGGGAATAACGAACGACTACAGGGAGAATTAACTACGTACGGCGCGACATTAAATGTATAAGTGACTACAAACAATCAACAATGGAATGATTGAAAGAAAAGAAATAGAATAGAGATGAAAAAGAAAAATATATATGACAGAGAGATAAACGTCACCATTTCATAAAAGCCTTCAACAGGAAAGAATAGAAACAATGAAATGAAATCAGATTTTCTTAAAATAAAAGCAAAATATTGGCAGTTATACAGAGCAGATCTCTTCAATAAATACATAAGATGCACTGGGAACATTGAGAGAGAGGAGTAAAATTTTGGAAAAAAAATTGGTTATCAAATTTTAGTCCATTTGGTTGATTTGGTTCAAGGGAATAACGCCTTATGAAGATCTATTTAGAAGATCATATCACGGACGACGAACTACGTTCGTCTTATGCATTCATAGAACTGATGATTCACATGCGCCACATACCCATTTTGCACTCGGATCTTCTTCCAATAAAGCGAACGCTCGTGGAAGTAGACCAGTACAATTCTGAAAAAGTTGGACAGAAAATAACTTGTAGGAGTAGTTGTAATTGAACAATTGTGGACCAGCCGCAGAACACTGACCATCACGCGCCCTTAGGCTACGTTCATACTTTGAGGCAGTGTCCACCAGCGTCATTAGCGCTCACTAGCGTTCCGAACGTCCGCAGCGTCAGCGACTAGAAAAGGACAGGTATCGATCCAACGTCTAGCAGCGTCTGCCAGCGTCTACCAGCGCGAACCAGCGTTCACCAGCGACCGGGAGTAGAGAGTATGGGGAAGTAGGAGGGTAGCAAACAGCTGGATTAGGCGTCGTGAAATTGCGCGCGTGCAACCGCACCGCACTACTAAAGCACAGAATTATGCACTTCAATGCACGCCATAGTGTAGCTGTACGGTGCAGTTACCAGTTTGCTACCATACTACTTCCCTATACTCTCTACTCCCGGCCCCTAGTGAACGCTGGTGGACGCCGGATCGATATCTATCCTTTCGTGGTCACTTACGCTGCCGGAAGCTCGGAACGCTAATGGTCGCTGGTAGACGCTGGCGGACACTAGATCGATATCTATACTTTCTTAATCGATGACACTGCTGGACGCCAGAAACGCTAGTGGTCGCTAATGGAGACAGCAGGAAAGTATGAACGCAGCCTTAGCAGTGGGCATGACTGCTAGAGGAGGGCGGTTGTTGCCAGCGTCACTGGTGGAAGTTCTGTGAGAGGGCGTTTGGCCACACCCCACTCAGCCCTTCCACCAATGACACTGACGACCATCGCATGCCCCCAGCAACTGTGCCACTTTTAGAGACACACCCGGCTCGACCACTTCGTAGCATTCCTTCTACACCCCAGTAGTCCGCTGCTCAATCGCAAAGACTGCCCCTTTTTCGCGGCTCCACAATGAGTGACCACGATGCTGCGATGGACTTCTTGGGCAAGGGCAGGATCCTACGATTTGGTTGGGCGCGGGGTATGCTTGTCAGGAGGATGGGAGGCCCGAGACGCGTTGAGAGCGGTGTCGTTGCACGCCGTACCTCGACCTGATGTGAGGCAAAAGCGCTATATTAACCCGAGTCTCAGCTAGGAATTGCAGTCTAGCTAGTTTCCACTTGTTGCCGCAATCCTGATCACCTGAACCGTATCCCATGGGGAAAACACTGCATTCGGCTCAATGCTTTTTTTCTTCCAGGGCCCAAAAATGTCGGTATACGCTCTCAGACCCAGAAGTAGAACTTCGGTCAGTAGTAAGTTGAAATAGTAGAGTTCAACCGCTGGTTCAGCGCGACAAAGACATTCCAAGGAGGCCACCACGTGGAGGTGCGACTCTGCCAGGTCATGTCTATGTATCTGCGCCCTCTCAGCGTGACAGAGTACGAGACAGTATGGAGATGTGTTCAAGCTTCTCAAGAAGGAATAGTAAATGAAACTCTGTATGTAATAATGAAGGAATTATCAATAAAAAGTAAAATAACTCACCTGATGAAATAAGCGCATGCACGGGCCGTTGCACTGCACGGAACGGTTTGTAGGCTGAAAATATCTTTTATTAGAAAGAGCATGGAACATGGCAGAAGGTTACGTGACGACTACTTTTCCTGGGCAAGGTTCTTCACGAAGCCCTGCAGAGCAGATACATTAAGGACAGTGACAGCCAGGACATTTAAGGATGAGAGGGAGCATGTGACGAGGCATGGGATTAACTTTTTCAGGGGAGCAAACTCCGGGGTAAGGTGGACTACTTATCACACGTGAACATTTGGGCTGTCGAAGACAGCAGTGATCAGAAGCACCTGGCGGATGTGAGAGCGCAGCGAAAAGCATAAAACTGGCGGGATTAGAAGGATTGAGCTGGACCTGTCTCTTGAGCACAACAGGGAAATGTTAAACAACGACTGAAGTTATTTAATGAAAGCGGTGAGATTCAAAGACAGTTCCCGCGATTAATTATTATGGTAGTAGGTGCTCAATCATGAACCAGTAGCCCATAAGAAACTCCCCAGTAGAGAAAGAAACGACGAAAAAACTGGGAACACTCTCAACAGAGAACCCCTTAGCAGTGGGACCTGCGCCTTGGATGATTTGTCAGACGTCGGCAAGCTCAGTCAGCAGGATTCGACGTGTAACCGATCCTCTGCGCACAGAAAATCACCCTACGACGCTCCAGTCAACGCTATTTACACATGCAGTTCCGCTTGTAGGCCATTGTCTTGCAGAGTGAAAATAATCGTGGTTGCAATTATTGCAATAATCACGCGCCTACATAGCTTCTTTATCTCGCCGTTTCGAGTGACGAAAGTGGTATATTCTCTGCGAATGCGGACAACGATGCCAAATGCACGGAGGCATTTCGCGGACTACTTGGTCGCGGGAGCTACATACAACGGTGCTTTTATCACAAACATCTATTTGGTGCGAAGCCTAGGCGCGCTGCTTACCGTCTATACGCTCTGTTGGATCGAACCTCATACAAGTCAACTTGACCTTCCGTTTTTGCCTGATGAGTCTATGCTATGATACCGATATAAAAGAGCAAAAGTTTCAAAAATCAGCTACATATCGCAAGGCATTGCTTATATTTACAGTCATGATCCCCCCAACAGATAGGGCGTGTGACGAGGCGTGGACGGGGGCGCAGTCAGGGCGGCCTTTTCCACCAGTGATGTCATCTTGAGCCTGCTACAACTAGTGGGGAAGGCTCTCCTTATTGCTCTCCGAGCCACACCCGTCACACGCCCTTTCGTTTGAATAGATTACGACTGTATATAAATTAGTACACTTAGAATTGGGCACTCAGCCTAAAGCACCTTGCCAACCAGTAACCACTCCAAAGCACGAGCCCGTTCCAATTACCGCGACTTTTTCCCAAAAGAATAAGCTCCTTATGTGGAAATGGGGAGGCGGTTCAACTCATCTCATTAAGGACATCCCAATAAACGCACACACCCAATGCCGCCAAATAAGAAAAAACCAAGTTGAGGTTAAGCTCACCGATACAAGACATAGGCACTTAGGACATTGAGGAGATATGTCGAACTGGTTCCCTGATTGTTGATATGGATTCTGGGTCATCTAAAAAATAGAATTTTGAAAAATACATAACTATATTTGCGCTGAATGACAATTTTCAATAGATTAGCGTTCTGTACCTGATTCCTAGGGCTGCTGAGCGATTGTTGATCACCAGATGACATCTGGCCATTGGACATATTCTGATAAACACCAGACACAGGGACTTGTTGGGATCCTAAAGTACTGCCATTAGTCAGTCTTACAGAGAATGCAACTCAGGTACCGTAAGGCTCCGTCAAATATGTACGAGGGCCGTTCAAGGTATTCTCGGTATCGGGTAATTTAGCAGTGACGGAGGAATTCAAATCATTTTATTAGATAACGACGGGTATGTGACAAGAGAATCGTAATTCGCCGCGCTGGTGAGCGTCGCGTGCGACGTCGCGCCCGCAAATGACGATGGTTCCAGGTAGTAGATGGCGACAACAGGCAATTCAGAACCGAAAATAGTCATGAATGTCTACGATGACGGGGTCTACATGAAGTCCGGTGCTCCAATCGACAGGTTAACACGAGTTAAGAAAACGCCGCGTCCATCGCCGCGGCGGAGCAGTAATTTACGATTCTCTTGCCCCTTCCCCGGTAACGACACTTTCTGAAGATATAAATACAAAATTCCATCCAGTTGTCATCAATACTGTTCTTGTTATCTATGTTGAAAGACGACCAGAATGACTGTACGGCAATCTTGAGAAAATGATTACTGATTGAAAAAATTAAGCAGAATGGAAAAATTGAGAAAATGAAAAGAAAATGGTGAAAACGAATAGTGATCTTCTTTTTATCCGATCCAGAAAGAATCTTCGTGGAAAGCGTTTTCCTAACGATGAAGAGCTGAAGACGGCAATTACTGCACATTTTGCGGACAAAGAGAAAAAAGATTTTCTCAGGGTACAAAAAAGTTAGTACACTCAAAAAATATATTGAAAAGTGACTATTATTCCCCCATCCCAACAAAAAATATCTTCGTGGAAACCGTTTCACTGCGATGTCGAGCTGAAGAGGCAATAAACGCACTTTTTGAGAACAAAAAAGAAAAATATTTTCGAGGGTACTGAAAATTTAGCACCGCGAACAAACTGTATTGAGGTTATGGGGGACTACATTGGAAAATGAATTTTATTCAGAATTTTCTTCCTTCCCTCATATACCACGAATACCCCTTGAATCCCCCTCGAATTTTTTTGAATAATTACTAACAAATTACTCACTACTATCATTGACTTGTTGAGACATGTCCTGCAGTCTGGCCATATTCATTGATGCTGCTGCACTATGGGGTACATTACCCATAGGATACATCCCATTTGGCATACCCATGGAGGGTGTGCTACCAGCAGATGCTGACGAGCTTGTAGGTACAGTGTTTGGTGACATGCTGGGGTAGTACGGCATTCCTGTGGCAGCTGGATTCATGCCCATTTGTGAGGTTGGCACACCGCCATAATGCGACATATCGGGTGGCATCGGTTGCATATGGCGTGGTGGTCCTGTCATGCAACCAGGAACCATCATCATACCGCTATTAGCACCACCGCCGCCACCACCACCAGGCCCTCCTCCTGCTCCTCCTGGAGTGCCACCAGACGACATTCCCGGGAAGCCGCCATCAGTGGAATCTGAATTGCAAATCGAATTAGAAATTGCAGCAGTATTTAAGAATTCCACTGACCTACTGACTGAGTTTTACTAGCTCCTGGAAAAGGAAAAAGTACTCTGTGTTGATCGATCGTTTTTAAGATGCCCCACATAGCTCCATATAGAATCACAGTGGCACTTGAATGTTTCTCGGACTGGATGGAGCCAGCCGATGCAAAAATCAGCGTTTGTTTCTTCCCAGACAAATGTGGCACCAATTGACTTATCCCGAAGGGATGGATGGCTTGATTGGCCCGGGCAAGAAGCGATCCAATATTTGGTTTCCGGAAGGGGCGCTTGTTATGTATGAGACGTCAGTTGCAATTACACACATTTCCGTTGACTTGGAGTAACAGAAAAAAAAACCGGAACGCGCCATAAATCCGCCTTCCGAATAATTCCAGGTATTGATTGATTCTAAACCGCCAAATCACCAGCTAATAAACAATTCCTCATATTTTTTTCTCATAATTACCATCGAAGCTAAATTTCCGCGCATGAAGACAGTTTAGTGAGGCTCTTGAAAATGTAATTCCTAGCCGTGCAAAGGTAGCGTTAACAGTGGTACCGTTGGCTCCTGGACTCGCGGCAGCGCTAGACCGCGTTAAATCGTCTAGTTATGAAATATTCTGCAGGACAGCGCGCGATGCCGCGCCCCGGTCATGAACTGTGCCCAAACGATCAATACAGAGTACTTTGTCCTTGAAGACTAATAACTAAACTAGTTCAGTTCTGTTCACTTACCACTTCGAGCTTTCTTCGACGGCGGGGCTTTGGTTTTAGTTGGCGGTTGTGGTTGTGTAAATGCTGGTGACATCATTTGAGGACTTGGCCTGAATCAGTACAGAGCGTTATCGCAAATTACTTCTATCTTTATCAAGGACCAACCTATTCCCATCTAATGCCCCACTGTTCGGACTTCGACCGGAATCCTTCCCTTGAGGATAGATTCAAATAAAATTATTTCACTCTCCGAATATGAAAAGCTCATGTTCATGGCACGAAAACGCTTGGCGCTCAGGCTTGGGCCCAGAATCCACATGCAAGCTTGAGTGATGGCATGCGAATGATGAGGCGTGTCAGTGAGGCTGGGTTTGGCGCGGCGCCAGCCCATTCTCCATCAGCCAGTCAAGTGGCTAAGCGACAATGATCGGGGAAAACACACGATACGAACGACATGATACATCCTTGTCGTTTGCCGGAAGAAAAAAGTAAAAATGGGCTGGCGTTGCGCCAAACTACCACGTCTTCTCCACCCCAAACAAGTGTGATATTCGTTTTTGAGGAACCAAGCTACCCATAGGGATATTTTTGGTGAATTTGATTTGAGTGTTTCATCGCCGAAGTCTGCGACCAGACGCCAGGTGGTCTCATGCTTAGTGGAAATGACAACCCTATTTGGGAGGTCAACCTAGATCTCCAAGGGCCCACTTTTCTGTCTTAGTCCATTCCTGGGAGAAATTTCAATCAAAATATGGGCTGCAATTCGGTGAGCGAAGCGGTAAGTGGTAGCTAGTGCCGAAGGAACTAAAGTTTTCTGAAACATCAGTAAGTTCACTTAAAGGCACTTGGCACCATAAATCCCTTAGACGAGTAGGAATAATTCGCCTAGCAGGACAGGATTCCCGCCCCTAAGCCGGCGCTGCGTAGCGCCTCTTCCACGTAACCCTTATAAGGCCCTGTCAAGCTACAACATACGACCCGGACGTCCGCACCGGTCCGCCCACAAACGGACGACCGTACCTGATGCTCGTATGCTTCATTTGCTAAGTAAAATATGAAGCGAAGGGATTGGTATGAAGCGGCCGCGGTGCTGCATGGATATATGAGTACATACGTGCAGCCGTATCTACCGTAGCGTTTATTGGCAAATTTGGATGAGAAACTCGTCCAAATTCGCTTTTTGAGTCATCAGAAACGAAGGCTTTTCTTCCAGGTTTTTGACCGTTTCACTTCGTTTTTTCGCCATTTTCCCCACTATATAGCACCCTGCTAGCATTTTAGACCGAGTACCAAATTATCGTGCCATATGCCTTTAAGTCCGCATAAACAAGTCCACATACAAATGACCAGTACTCACGCTGGTTGTCGACTTTGCATCTGTGGTTGCCCCTGTGACATCGGATTCATCGTAGGATATCGTCGATCGTATGCTACGTCGTAGTGTTTCGTATGAGGCAAAAACGCAAACGTTGCCGGTTCCATTGGTGCAACGTTCTGTACATGAATAGAATATGCATGAATGAGAAGAATAAAAAAAGGACATAAGTAATAGAAAATCAATCATGAAAGCTACACATCACAGCTTTCTAAAGTAGAATTCTAATAGCACATAAATTGAAGCAATAAAACTAAAATGGATCCTCCAGCAAAAGCAAAATTATCGTAATGGGGATGAGGGCTTCTCCCTAAGCAGGGCACAGTTGGAGAGTCCCGTCAGGCTAGAGGGTCACACTTAGCCATTGGGGAGAGATACGCAGTTGCAAATGAGGAAAAAATTCTGCGAGCCGCGAAAAAATTCCACTTTCTAGGTTTCTTTTTCCGGGTTCAAGTTCGCTATTATGCACCCGTCCCCTCATCCAAATTGCCGGAGGTTTAGTTTCAGTACCACATAACAACTAACAGCTAAAATTAGTAGTCGATTAGTGAGAACCTCCCCCACCCCCTTTCAATCGACGGCAGTTGCTTAGGGTGAAAATTGAAAGAATTTTCGGAAAAGTGGAAAAAGTGGTGTGAAGTGGGGAAACTTGGGAGGTTGGAAGGTAGGATAGGGAAGGAGTTGCACTAGATGAGGGAACTTGGAGAGGGGGGCCCTTGTGACACTGCCATTTCATACATCACGATGCTGTACCTTATGCGCAAGATAAAAGGAGGAATGATCTGCGGGCTAGATGAACCAATATCAAGTACGGTAATTCTATTCGAATGAGGGTAATTCCAGTTTAGCGCAGTTTTGAGTGCACCTCCTTCCCCAAGGTAGAAAGATAGCGCAGAAAATGGTCATCTGCATGAAACAGTCAATACATACAGAGATGAGAGAAAATGAAAGCTATAGGTCCCATGATCCCAGAAATGGACAGGCGCAGGAGTTTCGAGGTCAAGTTGATTAAGAATCGTTGAAATGGGGACACCGGTTCAGATCTTCAACAATCGCTGGGTGCGGATATCTTCATAGCGGCTGAATCTCCCAGACCGGCAGCTCCCACTCTGATTTCCAGAAAGAGGGGGTGTTACTTTACTCGGCTCAAATTGCTGAATACCAACACCCTCTGCGCGCGCTACGGCTGCTGTACAAGTACCGAATTTGGCCAGGCAAGAAGGAAGCGAGGCAGTTGATTTGAGATCCTTCAATGGAAAAGAGATCAAACAGTTATCATGGGTACGTGATAACGTCGCAATCACGCAGGGCCGTTGTCAAGGGGGGGGGGGGGTAAATGAGACCGCTTCCAGCTCGTTGCTCCATCAATAGTGATCGATTAGCGATCGATTTGGAAAGAAAACATAGCGATCGACTTGGAAAGAAAACAACCAACGACGGGAACGACGCGGCAGGTGGGCTCATTTCATCCCTTTCGAGACCCGTCCCGATTGAATGCGGGCGATATCAGCTGCACCACACGCTAAGCGTGAGCTATTTTCACATGAAAGTCCGAATCCAAAATTCCCGGTTCTGTAGTCAAGCGAAAAAAGGAAGCATTGGGTTTTGGGGCTCGCGATTCAAGGTATTTCAAAACGAAAAAGCCCAAATTCTCTGAATACTTCAAATCAAACTTCGTAATAAGAAAATGGAAGAGCTGTTCAAGCTTCTTACAGGAAGATTTGGCCCGGCAGGGTACGGCAGCACTAGCAACGTTTTCCGACGCTTGTAATACATTTGAAGCGCTGGATTCCTCATCTGTAAATAAAGTCAGTCAGACAAGTTTGATGTACCTGAAACAAGTATATTGTATAAAATCAAAAAAGAAAGTCGTAAGACAAAGCGCCATATTGATAAAAACGTCAGGCACTGATCAAGCCCTTTTTGGTATGCGCCACGCATTCTACTTCCGAGCGCCATGTGAGATGTTTGGCATTTATTGACAAGCATCACAAACTTCAGAAAACAAAAGCCAGATGAGTGGAAAGCTTGTAGAGACGACTTTTGCTATTTCTTTGAATTTCTCCTCTATTTTTCAAAAATTGTCCATGAAGGACAGATTCAGCCAAACTTGTGTCCCCGAAAGCAGCTTCACCCCCACAACACAAATGTCGCATCGCATTGGCGCTAAAACGTCCGGTGCTCGAGCTACAGGGAACGGCGTTCAGACCTGTTTTGGCACCGGCGTCTGCAGCGCAAGCACTGGTTGTGTTCACACCAAATGGACTTTATGTTCCTGCTTGTAGGGTGAAATTGAGGCCTGTACAAATCTTTAGCCAAATTCTGTTTCCTTGAGACTGATCTCACTAAAAAACTTGCCTGGTTCTAAAAGTTGGGGTAGAAAGTGTTCCAAAAATTAACGGTGCCAATTTCTCTGCACTCTGTACTATGAAGGCGTATTTCTTGCAGCCCACTAGATTTTGATGAATTCTTTTCTCAGCTCACTTTACCTCTTCAGTTCCCATGTAGGAGAGAAGAAGCTGTGTAAACATGGAAACTTCAGTAGTTGGAAAATTGGATATAAAAAGCGAAAATTCCCTGTAGATGGGTTGACACGTGTTTATGCGAAGCCTTGTGAGAGCGATGAGGTAGGATTAAACAGCCAGTGCAACGCGAAAGTCGGAAATCGGAACGTTCAGTTCCACTGTGATCCAAAAAGGGTTAGCAGAGATGCCGAAGGGTTACGTAGGGCTCAGTTGAGCTCAAGTATCCGCTCGCATGAAGTACACTGAGGATCACTAACCTGAGAATGTAAAATACTGGTTCGTATCATCTGACTTGTAATAATCTTTTGAATTCATATCTATGAAACTTTTTTTCCTCCTTTAGTGATGAGCACTGAGCGAGGACATCTCTATTTTCACTTTCCATCTATGTAGCTGCGTGGACTGGCAGCTAAACTATCTCTTTGACTCCCCCCAACCTCCCTTCAAATTTTTTTTAAAATACTACCACTACTAATATCGATTTTGCTCGTTGATCTTTCTTGAAAAATCATTGAAACCACAGCAAAATCATGATAACCTGCACTTCATATCCACCTGTTTTCTTCAGGCACCAGGCCGAATATTCACGTACTTCCACCCCTCCGAACAATGTCAAATGCATGGCGCATACCAAAGAGGAAGAATCAATGTCGGCCACTTTACGATTTATCCTATTCGATCTTAATACAAGTTTTCCATCTCAAAGGCGGATGAAAAACTTGTTTGGTGGAAAGTGGAAATCGAAAATGCGATACATGCAAAAGCAGCCTGTTTTCCTACACCACTTTTATACCAAAGAATAAAACTTGCATTAAAAAAAGCAACAAGTTCTCCAACTCCACCCACCTGAAACGTTTCCTGTAAATGTACAAAAGCTGGAGGCATATCGTAGTGAGTAACAAGAGGGAATGGCGTGTTAGTAGTAGGCGGTTGGGGTAATCCTTGTTGTTCACCGGTTCGGGGAGCAGTTTGTGAGCTACTGCCACCACCACCAGAACCTCCACCGCTAGCACCGCCTCCAAATACTGAACATGACGGACTCATAGCTGGACCAGCCGACATCCCGGAGTTCATAGCCATCTTAAATATCTAGCACTAATCGAGAATGAAAGCCTTTAAAAAGGGCTAGAAACTAGTAAAACACTAAAAGTAGAGTAGGGAACTGCCAACAAACCTGATCATTTGATGTCTGTTGCATACTAGCCGGTGATGAATCTGATTTCGGATGGCCACTACCATTTGACGGGGGCCTCATTGCATTTGACGGATAAACACCCCTAAATCAGTGTGTGCCGTCTCCAAAATCAATCAACTTTACTCCCTTCCACAGTATCGATTTCTGACAGATTTCCCATTCCGTGCTGGTGAAAATCGAGCTAGGCAGAATTTGGCTTTTTTGGGTTTTCAACTTTTCACTAAACGTTCACACTAAAATTTATGCGGAGCAATCAATAAAATCGTAATATCACACTATTGTGTTATATGAACCAGAGCACGTACTGCCGTTGGAGAAAATTTTTGCAAAATACGACTTTGCTCACTCAAAGTGTTCTCCTATAGTTCGATCCCTCTCCCTCATCCCTTATGCTCCCCATTTCCTACCACTTGTATCGAAGTTTTATCCGGAAATTCCTCCATTTTCTCCCCAAATGCGACCCCCGTCGCTGGAAATCCCCAGCGTCCGACGTGCTATGGTTCACATACGGCTCATAACAGAGCCCTCAGGAAACAGCACAGCCGATAGAGATATCGTACTGAAACAGCACCCTTGAAGCAAGCCTGCAGCATTGGTAGCTACAGCGCTTGCGCCTGCTGCCCCCACATAAGCTCATCACTACAATTTGCATAATACACAAGATAAATAGAGGGCGCCACGTCGTTTGTCACTTGGCAAGGGGCACCGGAGAGTCATTTGGAGCTCCAAAAAACTGGAATTGAAACCGCAGCAGAAAATTCGAAGCACCTATAAGGTGGGCCGAAATTACTGGTCACCACTATTTCAAGGCCACTTCGGCGTCAATTTCCAGAAATCAGCTCTAAAATAGCTAAACATGGCAATCCAGAAAAAAAATTATTGGTGGTTTTCTGCCCTCGCAGAGTTTCTTCAACCTTTGGCGAACGGTATGGTTGTATCATGCAGCAAGTGATCATCAATTTCGCTCGAGAGCTATTAATAATTAAGGAGCTTCTCAAATCGACTAAAGTAACTAAAGGGAAAAGAAAATGCCCACCACAAATATTTGGCACAGGGGAAGGCGGGTCAACAGCAGAGCGAAGAATATCCGGTGGGCATGGTTTTACAAGCAAAAATGACTATGAAAATACACAACATGTTATTATCGCGAGTACATTCGAAACGTGGAATTCTCTTGATTACGCCGATATTAACGAAACGGGACGATTTAAAAAGGTCGTTTGCATGCGTGTGGTCCGGGGTCAAATCTTGGATCGGCTCGTTTACGTGACAAGGGAATCGTATTTCGCCGCGCTGATAGGTGTCGCGTGCGACGTCGCGCCTGCAAATGACGATAGATTCAGGTCGTGCATGGCGACCAGACAATGTATAACCGGAAATAGTCATGAATGTCTGAAATGGCTACAGTGTCAAAACCAACGTGTGAAACGGTGCTCCAATCGACAGGTTAACACGAGTTAAGAAACACAACGCGCCCATCGCCGCGCGCGGCGGAGCGGCAAATTACGGTTCTTTTGCCCGTCTCCCGATCGGCTCCCGCTTGCCCCCGCATGTCATTGTATAGGTCATATCGCATTCAATACGCCATTACGATTCTGACTACAGACAGATTGCATGCCGCATTCCAAAACGGGATTTATCAGGGCGAAAGTATTATCTTTCATTTTCTGTCACGAAATGGCAGAAGAGAAAAAGAAAAATGTGGCAAAAACACCTCATCAACTGACTAAAAATTCGTCTCACCCCACAAAGCTACCCACCTATCCAAGCCCGCGGTTGAACATTTGGGAAAAGTCGCTGATTACTCCTATGATTACAGTAAACTTCTGCTAGGGAATTTCACCACTTCTCGAACAGTTACCAAAAACCGATTAGTTTGCCTTTTATTTTAGCACTGCTTAGATAGTTTCATAGAGCGGTGCGAGTCAAAGATGCGGCGCCATCCAAATACTATTTGGCCCGGCGCACACTACCTTTCTAAGATACTTGCATCGGAGCATTACAGTTCTGTACCACTATTGCGCGATTGCGAGTATCGCACACACGACGCTTCTTGCCGCGCTTCTTGTCAACTTGCCGCTACTCGACATCAAGCCCCTTCCTGTCTTGGACTAGTGTCTCGTTCCTACTTAGTCTCATTATTTCTCTTAATCCCGAGCGAATTTCACTAACTGAATGTGCTTCAAGAGAGACATTCAGAAGAAATTAGTCATAAAAGAGAAATGTTATTGATAATTCTGATTGATTCTTTTATTGATTTTTAACAACACCGATGGGGTTTTAGTAACATCCAAAATTTTCAACTCTAGTATTCTAAAGTCTTGCTCAGCATATCCGATGATATGTTTGAGCGAGCAAAAACTTAGATATATTGCCTAAGAACCTGAAAGTTTACCTATTGTAGCGCCCATGGGGCACACCTTTTTCGCCCTTCTAATGTAAGAAAAAAAAAACAGCGGAAAGATGCTCTGTCACGAACCTGTTTGATCCGGGACTTGGCCTGTTCGACTGCATGGGACTTGATGACGGATGAGATGCCGACGATTGACTTGGTGATTTTGTTTGCATTTGTTGGCTGTTCGGGGTTTGCTGACGCATTCCTTGCTGTGCAGCGGCAAGCTGTTGTTGCTGTTGCTGTTGTTGTTGTTGTTGCTGCTGTTGCATTTGTTGCTGTTTGTTGTTGCATTTGTTGTTGTTGTTGCTGTTGCATTTGTTGTTGTTGTTGTTGCATTTGTTGTTGTTGTTGCTGCTGCATTTGCTGTTGTTGTTGTTGCATTTGTTGTTGTTGCTGTTGTTGCTGCTGCTGTTGTTGTTGTTGCTGCTGCTTGTTGTTGTTGCTTGTTGTTGTTGCTGCTGCTGCATCTGATGATTCACAGGAGTCGATGGTTGCTGCATCTGATGATTTACAGGAGTCGGAGGTTGCTGCTGATTTGGCATCATCTGACCATTCATCGGCATCATACCACCCATATGTTGTAGCATTCGTGGTCGCATGGCACAGGGTTTTGGCATGCCAGGTTGATGAAATTGTCGCATCGGATGTGCACCAAACGGAGGTGGAACATTGGCCGTAGGGGACATGAGGGGAACACCGCCCATCGGCCCTGGTCCTCCAACATATCCGTACCTGAAACAATGACACATATTACTTTTTATAGTTATCTTCACCTGTGCTCTTTTTCAGTTCATAAATGCTTCGGATATTAGTGCTGTACTTCTGAATTTTCCAAAAAAATCAGACAAATAGGTGAAAAGTTCCAAAATTAGAATACATTTGTTGGAAGTGAAGCAACCATGCTGCTGACATCCGATTCGCACGTACCCATAGGCGGAAAACAAGAAAGGGTTCAGACATTCCGATGACGCGCTGACGCGCTACGCTACGCTACGTCGTGCACCAGACTGTTTTATTCGTATCCTCCTATTCTCCTATACTCTATCGAAACACCAGAGGTTGCGACGATGATAGTTGTTCTTGACTGCGGTCCCATTTACAGCATTCTAGGACCATTGCAATAGTAGGCGTTATCGCGAAGTCTGAGCGCGGCCTAATTGACCATCTCATCGCTTCACCAATATCAAGGTACATCGAGGTACAGAAGAAAATAAAGAGGTTGGGAGAGAGTAGGGCTTCCCACTGGTTCTGGTGCAATAGGCAGGCGGCAGCGCAGGAATGTGGTGTAGGAAGACAAGTGTTCCTCATCGCTACGACGAGCCCTGCTCCATGAGGGTTTTGAATACCTTGATTGCATAAAAAGTAAATTAAAGACTACGTTAGATCGTTTTCCTTCAGGCAAAGTTCAGCATAATCCCCAGCGACAATGAAAAATCCTACGAGAAAACCCGAAGCCAAATAAGACCCTAGTGCATACCAGCTCTGCTAGTTGCGAACATGAACTCCTGAAGAGTCGGGCCGACTAATTAGGACTAGGCCCGTCTGGGAGTATGAAACCTTTGCCTCAAAGGCAAGTGGCACGATACATCCCCAAGACAAGTCCTGTGTAGGATTAATACGCCTAGCAGGGCAGAATTCCAAACCCCTGGGCAGGCGCTGCGTGGCGCCTTTCTCAAGGGAGGTACCCTCATAGCGCCCTATGAAGCTGCAACATACCGACCCAAACGCCCACCACGCCCGCCCGCCCACAAAATGGACGACCGATGCTGATGCTCATATCCCTTCATTTGCGAGGCGCAACATGAAGCGAAGGGGTTGATATTAAGCGGCTGCGGTGCTGCATGGATGTACATGCAGCCGTATCTACCGTAGCGGTTATTGGCACGACGCCAACGGGAAACTCGTCCGAAACTTCTTTCTGAGTCGTGTAGGACATAGGCTTATTCTGCACTTTTTGACCGTTTCACTTCGTTTTTTTCGCCATTTCTATATAGCACCCCTGCTACAATTTTAGACCAAGTACCAAATTATCGTGCCTATGCCTCGAAAGTGGGCCATAGCGCAGTAGAAATCTTTCATTAGTACAATCCTCTCTCCGCAAATCCGCCGACCTAGGGGGAACCCCATCAGAAATAGAAAAACTGCTGCGCCGCCAGCTAGGGGGAGGGTATATGGCGCACTCGAGAAGGGAACACTCAGCAATTAAAAAAAATTTTGGCAGACAGAGTGCGGTAGCATTTCCTGCTCAAGAGAACCCTAATGTAAAGAGTCCCTGCACTGACTTCTAACCGGCTGGTCCCTTCAAGTCACTGTATAGGTCCAATCGCATTCAAAAAGCATTTACGATTTTGAATAGAAGTGAAACGCACGGCGTACCCCAAAAGGACTGATTCCCACCAGAGGCCTTACTGCTCTCATTTTCTTGGCTATCAAGGTGTAATACTGGCACTTGTAGTGAGCTTCGGGAAAGCTTTGCAGCATTTTTGAAGAAGTCTCAAATCTTCTGGAAATTAAGCGACAAGCTTTCCAGGAACACCAGCTTTAGAGATAGAATTTTACCGAATGACATAATAAATAAACAAGTTATTGTTACTTTTTCGAGTCTACTTTTTTAAGCTTAGTAAATCGAAATGTCAATTGATACAAATGTTTTTGGAGATGAACATCCTAAGCGAAAGTAAATATTATTACAAGAGAACCAGTTTGAACATAGCAACACACCCGTTCATTTGCTTTGCGTCAAACATTGGATTCGTAGGAATAGCACCATTTGAAGATGGATAAGGGTTAGAAGGTGTATTGAATCCCTGCAAAACAAAATGTCAATACAAATTACTTTGTAGAAAGTACTGTCTTGGTAGGCAGCATTCAAATCCGTTGTAGGATAACATTTCAAAGAAACTAGTCGATCGTTACCGAGCGGTTATCGATTGATCTGAGATTAAATAGTCAAAGGGTATTAGCAAGTGTCTACTCTAAGGGATTGATAAAACTGAAAAATCAAACTCTTAAATGAAAAAAAAACATAAACTATGAAAGTCGACGAAGAATATAGCCCGAAACGGGCCGAAACCGGTGCATGGATTATTCGATCAACTCTGATGAAACGTCATTGAACGTAAAATCGAACCTGTTGGTAAGCATCGGCTGGAAAGGCAAAACCTTGAGGAAAGACCGGTGACTGCGCATTAAAGGGACCAGGAGCCGGGACAGGAAAGCTCGCCGACATTCTGAACACAAGAAATGGATTAGGCTACAATAGCAAAGATAAAGACTTTTGAATTAAAGTTTTTTTTTCAATCGTAATAGCTGGAAATAGCTGAGAAGATCTCCATGGCGATAAATCCTTTTATTTCTTTAATAAAAAATCAAAGCACTGTTACCGTATTATGATGGAAACTTCAGACGGCCGCTATTTTTTCAAACCTATGTAATTTCTAAACGGATATTGGACCTTCGCAGGCATTTGCAAAACAATTATTGCAAAATTTATCACGAAAAATTAATTGGTAGCAGCTGGTAGCGAAAATAGACACTTTATAATGCCTTATATTTCCCTGCAATTACAGTACCACAGTGTTGTTCGCTATGAAAGATGGGGCGTGTCAGTATGGCTGGATTTAGCGTGCCACCAGCCCATTCTCCACCAGTTCTTGAAGCATGTAAGTGATGTGGAAAACGGCTGCTTCAAAGATTATGATGCAGTCTTTCGCTTGCCGAAGATAAGCAAGAAAAAATGGCGTTGCGCCAACCCACTCCCACAGTGACAAGCCCCATCATCCACAGCAAACAAGACTGTAGCACCCGTAAGGCTGCAATTGTACTTTGCAGCAGCGTCCACCAGCGACCACTAGCGTTCCGAGCGTCCGGCAGCGTCAGCGACTAGGAAAGTGTAGATATCGATCTAGCGTCTGCCAGCGTAAACCAGCGTCTGCCACATCTCGCTAGGAAAGTATAGGAGCCGATCTAGCGACTGCCACCGTCTACCAGCGTCCACCAGCGCCTGCCGCATCTCGAAGTCTAGAGAAGTATAGGTATCGATCTAGCGTTTGCCAGCGTTTACCAGCGTTCACCAGCGACGAGTAGAGAATGTGGGGGAGTAGGAAGGTAGAACAGCTGGATTAGCCGTCGCTGGAGGAGGCTGCCGCATAGTATGAACCCAGCCCGAGGAACTGACGAAATTGTTTCAATTATAATTTAAACAATAATCAATAATAATTGCAACAGAAGTTATCACAATAAACAACTTATAATAAGGAAAAATTACTCAGCAAAGTTGCATCATGTATAATGAAGTTCTCGAAAACAGATCATCAAGTTCAAAAGGAAATTCGTTTTCAATATCATCCATGTTTCTATAGAATTGTTGATACCAGAACATTCCATCTCAATGGTACTTTGCATGAAGTATCTATTAAGTTCTTTTCCTATGGTAGGTCCAACGCCAGCAGCAGGCAGTGACCTGCTCACGCGAAGAAAAATTAGAGAAGTCTCAAACAAAATCTCAATAAACAAACACCTAGAAAAATCTCAAACAGTAAACTAAACATAATCTCACACTAAAGCACCACTCGCACTCAAATAGAAGAAGTTCATTTCTCTGGCAGGTGGGCCGGATAGTATGGCAGTAGCACCAGGGCACAATGAGCATTTTTGCCGCACCACCAGCACTTACATGGCATCTTCTACACCGGACAACTCGCCCGCTTCACTCAGTTTCTCAATAGAACTTGAAGAAGTTATTTCTGCCACAGAAAGCACGTTCCGGATCGAGACGTTCAAGAAGCCGATCTCGCCGCTCGAGGTCATCGGGTGGTTCCAGGAGACGTAGAAGAAGATCGAGGAGAGGAGGATCAGACTCGGAGTCTTTTTTTCTTTTTTTTTCATAAACTTATTTCTTATTATTTATTTCCCCATCCGACATACACCCATTCATCCTTCGTGCCTACCCACCCCTCACAGCAGCAGCTCCACACTCTCTAGTGGTCTGTATGAGGTGGAGAAGAGCCATACGATATCCACAACTATCGATCGAAAAGATCGGGGTAGATAGAAAATAGGTCTCTCCATGATTTGTCCACGAGGCACACCATCTCTTCTCGTCCGACCCAGCCCTCATTTTCGTAGATCACTGAAACATGGCGCGACTGATTTATGCATGTTCTGGTGTTCACGTCCAAATTTTATACAGTCTGGTACATCTCACTCATGCCAGCCGCGGGTCGAGGCATTTGCGACGCGGGACAAATTTTGGCTACACGAGGAAGGGACCAGGGGACGTATGTGAGGATAGCTACAGCGACAACTAGAATTTTTGTGGGAGAGTGGCGGTTGCCAAAGCATGGAAATGTGCAAAAAAAACTACGTGGCGTAGCACGGGATGAGCTTTTTCAAAGGAAGGGGAATTCGAGGTGAAGGACCCCTCAGCATGAATGAAAAGCGGTAATGTCTGTGGACATAATGACTATAGAATGTTCACTATACGAGAGAGTGCACAGAAAAACAGTAATTTGACGCGTTCACAGGGATGAAATGGAGTTGTCGACTACCATGTAAAGATAAAAGGGCCTGTATCCAAAAAAGGGTGTGGTAGCAAGACTGAATTTGAGAATCCTTCGGTGGAAAAAGTGATAAAAGGTGTCCCCTTCTTTCCTTATGCTCTATATGTCCTTGTCGATGGTTTTTCAAAGAAACAAGCGGGTACTGGAGGAGGTGACGATTTTGCCGATGTCATAGCTCACACTGTGTGCCACAGTCTTGCTCGCAACGGATGATGGGGTGTGTCAATGAAGGTGGGTTTGACGTGCCGCCAGCCCGTTCTTCATAAGCTGCTGGAGCGGGCAAGTGACAACCATTAGTGGAGAACGACTGATACAGACGGTATGATCGTGTTCACGCTCACAGTTATCACAAGAATGCTGAGTTATTGGCGAAAGCCATGACTCCAGGCGAGACTGGAACCCGCACCCATTTCGGGCAATTGCGCTATCCTATTTAGCTAGAATACTGCTGGCCAGTGATAGCAGGTGATAGCGAATATTAGCGGCACTAATAGGATGAAAGAAACTAAGGATTCTGGAGAATTCTAAGAGTTGCTGAACTAGTGTGATAGTGAGTAACGGCAGAGCTTCTGCAATTCCGCTCGGAATTCGTGCGCATGTTGACTGCTCAAAATAGTACCTAATAACCGAGGTAGTAGGATAATTGAAAACAAGTAATCAAGGTTAATAAAAAGTGGCTTGTGAGAGGTAATAGGAGCAATAAACTGCCGGCCATCCAACTTGAGATGGATTTAGCCAAAACAGAGAGGATTTTCCGCTTTTGAAGTGCTCAGAGCAGCGTATCCGTAAGATTTTCATACTAAGACCTTTTCGCTCTGGAACAACTTCAACCTCAAGAAAAAAAAACAGAGAAAAAGCATAAATTTCCGATGAAAAATCAAATAAAAAACAAAGGTAGTCAGCCACTCTAAGCAAAGTGAGTGAGGAAGCCACGATGAAAAAGTTCAATGAGAATCAAAAAGGAGAAAAATAGTTGGCAGCGGAACTAAATCAGGTTCGTTTTCTTTCTACGCATCTACGTGCTCTAAACGGGATAGTGCTCTCTGAGTTTCGGTGACGGCAGTGAGAGGGCAGACGGACAGAAGAGGGCATGGTTTTGTCTCGCCTTCCAACAACTATAAATAAAAGAAAATTCAGTAAACTACAAAAAATGGCTGAGACATAATCTACCACTCCCCTATTCTTCATTCTAAGTACTTCCTAATTTTTTCGCACTCGATATTTTACAAATAAATGTCGCTCTGGGCTCACCACCTTCTCAAGTAAGCATGGCAACGAAACGGGCACACCCAGGGATCGAAAACTGTGTGCCGATGCTATTTTCCCGCACGTCCTATGTTGGGAACTCCTCGGGGGGATCGTCTTCAGGGGGGAGGGTAGCATTTGGTTCCAAAAAACTTTTTTGACATTGATTCCTGTTTTTTTTCCTACCTCCAATGGGGGGAGGGGGGAAAATATCTGCTTGTCGTCGGATGCAGAGGCCGTACGTTTTAGCCGCGCCTTTCAGAGAAAATGTACCGCCTTTTCCGTGCATTCTCCGCTTTTCTGGTGCTGAAATACCCCCTCCCCCCCCCCCCCCCGATCGACAGCAGCATTTTGGAGGAAGACTGGGAAAATCTTGGAAAATTCGGGGAAAATGATAGGAAGCTTGGTAAAGTTGGCAACAACAGGGGAGGACAGTAATTAGGATCGAGGTGGCCTAGCAGAGGACGAAATTAGGGACGGGGGTCGTATTTTCAGAAAAATTTCCCCAGTGACAGGACGTGCCCTGATTTCCCCTGCCACCCCCTGCCCCGCTTCAGCCGCTCTCGCAACCTCGAAGAGAGTCACGCCAAAATGAGAGTCGAGGCAGTGAGAAGATAGTGCAACGAAAATTATCGAAATGAACTGGTTTGAATTCTGAACTAGGGTTTTGAAAATGAATCGATTGAAACTCTCAGCATGAGAGTGTGAAATAATGTAGTTTTTTTTTGAAAAAGTACTGATAATAGTAGTAATGACGTAATACTTGCGCCGCCCACAGCACATTCGGCACGCGAGAATTTCAATGGTGTTCATTTATGCCTTTATTGGAAAAGTTCACTCGCCATGCTGTTGGCAACCAAAGGGTAAAGCATCAAAAAAGTGGAAACACGTAAAATATTTCTTTAAATATTAGCTTAATTGAAAAAGTTACTCGCAAAAAGTAAGGGTTAAAATAGTAGTACAAATACAACAAAGCTTTATGCCTTTACTGAAAAGTCACTCAGTACTACGGCTCTATCAGTAATATGAATTTCCAAGGACAAAACTTGTTATAACAATCAATGTAACACTATATCAATTCAATTTATACACTTCATTATCACATATCAAACTTTTTTCACTTACTGCATGTTTTCCGTGAAACCTGTCTAAACATCGACGCGTGGGAAATTAAATACAGTTCTATCTAATACTGATGACGTCACGCCCGGACCCACGTAACCCGGCTGTTACGTAGGTGTCAGACGTGACGAAAGAACGCTCTAAAATAATTAATCTTTTCCACCCATAAACATGACAACATCTATTTTCCCTAGAGGTCCCATACGGAGTTGATTAAACACTATTTCATGGCACTTTCACTGAGAACTACGTGCAGATCCTAAAGGAGAGAGGCCGTTCCCATGTAACAAAAGGTCCCAAAAGGTCAAAAGGTACAGTTGTACACGTTGAATCGTGTTATCACAGAAACGAAATAGAAAGTTGGCTAATCGATACTATGTGCCACGAGCGTGAGCTCATATGGTGCGAGGTAGTGGGCGAAAGTTGTAGAAGTAGGGTAAATGGTATGCAACGTCCTCTAAATTAGTTGGTAATTTAGGTAAGAGGATGAAGCGTTCGCCTAGATGCTCAGATATTGATTAGAGGAGGCGGACCACCGCATAAAAAAAGTCCAGAAAGTGAAATTTAATGGTCGGAAGTAAGCTGAGAGGAATAAGGATGTAACGTGGGTTTACAAGTTATGCTGAGAAAAAGCCCGACATTTTTTCCGGTCAGGGTACAGCATGGTGATGGATGAAATGGCGGTATCAGCACGATCCTCCCATTTCCTTTTCCGCTACGACCCCCAAAATTTTCTCACGACCCTCCTCCACAACCTACCTACCACCTTACCAGATACTTCCAACTATTTAATACTTCCAACTATTTAACAATTTTCCGAAAATATTACCAGTTTTTCCCTTGAACCTCCTCGGGAAGAAGACGTGAGCTCTCTAGGAGTGTTCCATTCGAAGGTCGTCAGTACTGTAACCTAATGGTGTCGAGGAGCTAGCAGTTCCTTCGTCCATCCCGAGATTTTCATGGTAACCTTAACCTGAGAAGGAAAGTTTTGAGGCTGAGCCAGACCAAAACCATTGCCGGAGACAACTCCGACAAGGACTCCCTATTTAAACTTTCTAAGTGACTTCAGAGAAGTTAGGAACTTCCGGTCAAATACACACACACGGACACACACACGCACGCACACACAGACAGACACACACCCAACACACACCACGCACACAGACATACACACGCACATGGACACACACGCACATACACAGCACACAGACTGCACTCACCGGATGATCTAGATGAGCTAGTCTCATCAAATATTCATCTGATGGAACGTTGCTTAGTGTTGAAGCAAATCGCGTCACGTAACAATCATTTCTTATCAATCGGACACTTTATAATCAATCGGACACTTTTCAAAATCAATATCCGGTTGGATACGAAATGGGCAGAGTTGGTGCTAGGAACACACTAGGGTACTGCTGCGAGCCCCCGCCCGGCAGCTCTTCCGCCCACTCCTTAGCGCAGCCATTCTTTTCCAAGATGTTTTATGAATTACTTTTCTGATTTTTTTTTCACTTTTGCTTTGACGCACATCAACTGAGTAGCTTTGGTACCAACACCTATATCTCTCCGCCCACTTCACAATGAAGTAACGTAAGCTCTGAAGTTTTACAACTTTTTTCGACGTCGTTCTCTTCCCATTAAATCTTTACAATACGGTTAGCCATGCATTTACTCACCAGCACACCGATTGGCCCTGCCCTCTGACGCAGGACATACGTGGTAATCAGCTTAAGATTTGGGCTTGTTTCTTCCGAGATTTCCGACTTTTCGGCTTGGGGGTCACTGGACACGCCACTAATGGAAGCTCCGCAAACTTTGACTGAGAAGCTCGCCCCACGTGTTACAAAAAGTGATGCAAGCCCGCCGGCGGCTAGGTGTCCG